ATGAGATTATGAAAAAGTTTCACAAGATGGAAGCAAGAGTTGTGTTCTCTGCTGAACATTATTTGTGGCCTGATAAAAGCCTTGGTGTAAGTATACAAGCTTACAGTAGAATACTGTGGAATACTTTATTTTCCATTGGAATTAATTTTTGCTATTTTGCTGAAGGAATGATACAGTGAAAATAAAATCCAGCGAATATACCTTTTTACCCATCTTTTACATTCAACTCGCCAAAAATCAGTGAAAATAAATTCCATATAACACACATAAAAAGTTATTTCAGCGAAAATTAATTCCAGCGAAAATATTCCACAGTATTTGATTTTAGTTGAAATTAATTTGTTGGTGTTTTGTATGGAATTTATTTTAATTGATTTTTGATGAATTGAATATAAAATATATAAAAATAAAGTAACTTTTCTAGAGTTCATGCTCACTAAATCATTCCCTCAGCAAAAATAAATTCAAAGCAGAAATCAAGATTTGTATTTTTTTAAATATTTTTGAAGCAATCAACCAACAAAAAACATTTACAAAATCATTTAGTTGTCTGATCGTGTCAAGAATCTTTTCTACCAAATAAAGTCATTTTTTGTTGATTTCATTTGTATGCTGCTAAGTTTATTTTTCCAGTCATTTAAGAAGACAAAAATGCTATCACAGCTATGCTATTGTTTGCCATTGTTTTAGAAACAGTTCAAATATAATATAATTTAAGATTCACAATCTTTTTCATTATTTCAGAGCAAATATCCCAAAATAGAAAAAGGACTACCATATTTGAATTCTGGTATGTTCATGGGATATGCTGAGGAAATCTGGAAGATTGTGTCACATGAAGATATCAAAAATAGTGGTGATGATCAACTTTATTATACAAAAATATTTTTAGATCCTCAACTACGGGTAGGTGGTGTTTTAAATAATTATGAATATAAATAAACAAAAATAAACAGAGGAGCGGTGGTAATTGTGCAATGTGTTTTTGAATTTCATGTAAACAAACAGCAATTTTGCATGTATTGTATACACCACTATGTGTCTTGTATCAAACAAGACAGAGTGCAACCTGGTGCGACGACCACTGTCCTTTAAGTATGAATGAGGCCAACAAGTTTTTGCTTCTCGTTCCCGAGGAAAATTGAAAAATCATAACATTGTTTTAAATTTTTTTTTGTAGTATTCGTTACCACAAATTCAATGTTTAACATTTATGAAATAATGCTTTCAAATACATGCATTAGTGGATTTGGGGCAAACAAAACATCACCTGAAACAGAAAACATTTTCCCTTTCTACTGTACCGGTCGGTATATTACAAATTTAAAAAAAAGCATAAATACTCAAATGAAAACAGTGCCCTCAGTGTTCATATATGCAAATGTTTTCAGTTTGTCTGACATTTCATAGTGATGGGTTAAAAGTCTGAATAAAACTTACTTTATGGCTGTTATATCATTGTAGGAGGAACTTAACATGAAATTGGACAACTTAGCCGTGTTATTTCAGAATTTACATGGGGTAACTGGTAAGTGTTATTTTGAAATTTTCAAAAATTTCAAATATACATAATGAGTTTAATGTGGTTCAAGTTGTAACATTGCTGCTGCACATATCCAGACATAATTCTGAGTTACAAAAATATAGAGAAAATATTAAAATAAATTTCAGACTTTCCTAGGAATAGACCATTATTTTTTTTAGAGGGAGAAGGAAGGGGATTGGCTATATTAGAATTTGAAATACCTTCTGCAGCTTACAGCCCCTCACGAATGACAAATCTGAGAAAAAATTATCTCTCTGGAGGAAAACTTTCGAGACAATCTTATTGGGTCTGCATCCCCTATTATGTATAATGGTCTAGCCCTCTGTGCTTCAGTGTTTCCCTTCAGAAGTCATGTCCATTCAACTCATTCTGCTAGAATTGATATATAAATACTTTCTATTCATACTGTA